TCTGGGTGGTTGTTTGGAAAAACTTTTTCTCTACACAATGGCATCATCTGTGGATGGATTGGAACTTATATATCAAAAATATGAAAGAGAAAAACAAGGAGGGGAAGATGGACTTGGCACTATTTTTCAATACTTAGAAATGGCGGTTTATATTTATGCGAAGCAGAATGAGGATGATGGGGACAAAGAAGAAGAAGAAGCCATCTTTGATGAAAAAAGAACTTTGGAGACGGGAAAAAGCAAGAGAAAAAGGAAAAGAGGTCTTTAAGATTTGAAAAAACAGCCCAAAAAGAGAAGAATAAGGTGAAAAAGGGACATTATGTTAAGAAACAACAGAAAGGGGGAAAGCAGAATAAAAGGGAGGTGGAGAGACAAGGGGTTAAAGAGGACAAGGAGAAGAAGCATCACCCAAGACTAGGCACGCACGCCCCCAACTACCTCAACTCCAACTACTGCCGGCCTTAAATGCAAACTACTCAATGCAAGAAGCCTCGTGAATAAAATACCTGAATTTCTCATCCTCCTAAATATGGCTAACTTCGACATTATATTTGTCTGTGAAACATGGCTCAATGCATCTCTCCCCGACTCCATTACCACAGTAAGAGACTATCATGTTTACCGATCAGATCGTGAAAATCGTCGAGGAGGTGGTGTTGCTATATTCTATAAAAAATCCTTACATCTAAAAAATATCCAAGTTACCCAGGAGCTTGCTCTTCCTGAGACCATCATCTGTGAACTATCCTTAAATATCACAATTCGATTCTTACTATGTTACAGAGCACCTGATTATGACATCGAACATGTAAACAAGCTAAATACATTACTAACATGGGCTGCATCCTGCCCATACCCTTTTATCTTTCTTGGTGATTTCAATCTACCTCATATTGACTGGACCCTAAATGATTGTACAACTGAAATCATACACACAACCTTCTACAATGCTATTACAAATCTGGGACTGGAACAACTAGTAACCAACAACACTAGACTAAACAACTGCCTCGATCTCATCTTCTGCAATAGTTTGAATTTAATTTACGGAATACAAACTAAAGAACCCTTTTCCAGTAGTGACCACAATATGATTGACTTTTGTCTCAACATACGTCCACACAAAAATCACCACAATGATGTAATCCCCAATTGTAACTTCAAAAAAGGCAACTATGATCTTATAGAAAACGATCTCTCATCCCTGGATTGGCAATCTCTATTCACTGGATGCAATACTGTTGAAGACCATTACAACATATTTTTACTTGAAGTCAAAAGAGTCATCAAACTATATGTACCAACAACAACTCCCAAAACAAAACAAAAAAGCAGATTACCCATATCAATAAGGAAACTTCAATCCAAAAAGAGATCACTCTGGAGGAAAAACAAATCTGGTCACGTTACCAATTTCAAAAACCGATACAAAAATTTATGCCACCAGATAAAGACCGAATGCACCAATTATCACATTAAACAAGAGGAAAACCTTCTAAGCACCAATTCCACCCGTGCTTTTTACAATTTTGTAAACAACAAACTAAAAGACTCAAGGTCCATCCCTCCCTTGATAGGACCTGATGGTAAAGACTGCAACGACGACACCATTAAAGCCAACATCTTTAACACATTCTTCGGCTCAGTATTTGTAAACAGAAATGGATCATGCCCAGTATTTCCTAGCCGTACCACAGATAACAATAATGATCTAATACATATCGATTTCACAGAAGACAATGTTGAAAAATCACTACGCAATCTAAAACCATCTCTATCTATTGGACCGGATGGAATATGTGCCTACTTCTTAAGAAAGCTATCCACTGCCATAGCCAAACCTCTAAGCATAATCTTTGAAAAATCTTTCAGGACCAGCTCCTTGCCTAACCTATGGTCACAAGCCACAGTCATCCCCATCTTCAAAAAGGGAGACCCAAGCCTAGTTGAAAATTACAGGCCAATCTCCTTATGCTGCGTCACCTGTAAAGTCATGGAATCTATTATTAACCAATTCATCATCCTCCACTTAGAGACAAATAACCTACTCTCCAATAAACAATTTGGTTTCAGAAAAAAACTATCCTGTAATCTACAACTCTTACACTGCAAAAACATATGGACGACACAACTCGACCAGGGCAAAGCAATAGACGCAATCTACATAGACTTCTGTAAAGCCTTTGATTCAGTGGTACACGACAAACTACTCCTAAAAATAAAATCCTATGGTATCTCTGGACAACTGAATAACTGGATAGAAGCATTCTTGTCAAACAGACAACAAATGGTCAAAATCGGGAGCGTCCTATCAAATCCAGTACCTGTCAATAGTGGTGTCCCCCAAGGCAGTGTTCTAGGACCAACTCTCTTCATACTCTACATAAACGACCTCTGTGATCATATCAAGAGCAATTGCGTTCTCTTCGCTGATGATGTAAAGCTGTTCAATACCACAGACAATACTGCTACCCTACAAAAAGATCTTGACTATGTATCAGAATGGTCAAACAAATGGCAACTTCAAATCTCAACAAATAAATGCTCTGTCTTACATATTGGCAAAAAAAATCAGAAAATAAAATACAAGCTGAATAGTCAAGAACTTGTTGATGACCCAAGCTCTGTAAAGGACCTTGGAATACTCACCTCTAATGATCTAAGTGCTAGAGCCCACTGCAACTACATAGCCAAAAAGGCATTAAGAGTTGTTAACCTAATCCTACGTAGCTTTTTCTCTGGTAATATCACACTACTAACCAGAGCATACAAAACATTTGCTAGACCAATACTCGAATACAGTTCATCAGTCTGGAACCCACATTACGTATCTGATATTAGCACAATTGAGAAAGTCCAGAAATATTTCACAAGAAGAGTTCTCCACTCCTCTACTCGTTGTAGAATACCTTATGCCACCAGACTTGAAATTCTAGAACTAGAAAACCTTGAATTACGCCGTCTTCGGTCTGACTTAAGCATGGTATATAAAATCATACATTGCAATGTCCTACCTGTCAGTGAATACTTCAGCTTCAACCATAACAACACAAGAGCACACAATAGATACAAACTCAAAGTAAACCGCACCAAACTTGATTGCAGGAAATACGACTTCAGCAATAGAGTGGTCAATGTCTGGAATACTCTACCCGACTCTGTAGTTTCTTCCCCAAACCCCAAAAACTTTAACCTTAGACTGTCTACTATTGACCTCACCCCTTTCCTAAGAGGTCTGTAGGGGGCGTGCATAAGCACACCAACGTGCCTACCGTCCCTGTCCTATTGTTTCTCTTATTCTTTTATTTTTCTTATATGTACCCATTTCATGTATTCACAACTATGTATACACTTATACTTATTATCTTGTAAACAATTGGCAAATCAAATAAATAAATAAATAAATAAAGAAGCAAGGGAGAAAGGAAGGGATGAGAAGCTCTAATGGTGGGGAGCAAGATATTAAGAAACAAAAGTTTTTCAGAGGTAATGGATAGATCTTATTGTTAATGGGATTCTAGAAAGGTACATAAGATTGCATTTTTATATCTGTATTTAGAAGTAATTATAGAAAATTAGAAATAATATGTAGCTTAAAATGTGATAAAATATCTAACATAAATAAGTGAAATTTTTGTTAAGAAAAAGAGAGTACTGTAATGAAATATGATTCAAGATTGTGATGTGGGGGGTAATAATCGTGGAAAGCATAAGTGTTCCCACAAAGGCATGATATTCAATTGAAATGGATAAAATGTTTAAGATATAAATGATTGTTAAAATTAATGATTAGAACATGGTATACTAGCAAAATCTTTTGTGAAATGAGATTTGAAGTAGAAGAAGGAGGAACATTTCAACGAAATATTGAGCTATAATATGTGATGTGGGGGGGGGGATAATTATGGAAAATAGGGCTCTCATAAAAGCATGTGATTTAATTGAAAAGTAATGAGTTAAACATCTAAGATATGAATGAATATCAATACTAATGAATAGATTTGTATTATTTTTGATAATATAGTATAATTTTAGAATGTACCAGACAGAATCCCAATGTATGTTATGTATTTTATATTAAGTACTATAAATATAAGGGAAAAAGATAAAGGCATCATACTCCATATAGTGTACAGGAGAAGTATTTCTTCTTTTTTTTAAAGAAGAAAAATAAATGATTGGCTGGAATAGAACAGACAAAGAATAATAAATATTAGGATATGAATTGAGAGGAGGAAAAAAAATTGAGAAAATTTAAAGGAGAGGAGAAGTTATATAGAAAATTGAAAATGTTAATAAGATATGAAATGGTATGTAAAATGAATATGAAACTGAACTTGTGTCTGTACCAAGAGTTTTAACCCGGGACTAAGCAACTTTCAGAAAAGAGATTTTTTATGCTTTTATGTTTTGTGTTTATGTGTATTTATATATTGTTTGTCTTGAAAATAAAACTTGTTTAAAAAAAAATGCTTGTTTGTCATACACAAAGAATCAAGACCACATGTTAAATTCTAGTTAAGATTTATTGCTCAGGCTTATCTGCAAGAATCTAGTAAAGTAACAATCAGCATTAAATTGGCACTAGATAGGAGTTAATGGAATTCAAGGAGGGGACTGGACAACGCTTGTGACAACACAAGGACTCTAGACTGATTTCTCTCTTGACTCCCCCTCCCTCAGGCCCTGCCTCTTCTCCTACAACTTATTTTTCAAAGCAAAGGGTGGAAGGATTTGGGTTTTTTTTGGCAGAAATCTGAGGGAAGTTGATGAGTGCTCCTTATTCCCAGCTGGCCAGGAATGGTGAGATCTATCTGGCAGTTGGTTCCTTTTGAGCATTGCAGGCTTGCAAAAAATAAAAGTAAATTAACCTATTCCAATTGCATTTTTTGGATTAGTGATGCTTATCAAATGTCCTGTACTTAGTGATCAATGAAATGCACAGAATTTGTAATTTGTAAGCATATGGCATTCCCCCCCTCCTTTTTTTTCTGTTGCAGTTGTTAGGGGCGTTTGTCTTAACTGTGGGCATTTATGCAGAAGTTGAAAGACAGAAATATAAAACTCTTGAAAGTGCCTTCTTAGCTCCAGCGATCATCCTGATTCTCTTGGGCATCGTAATGTTCCTTGTGTCCTTCCTCGGAGTATTGGCTTCTCTGAGGGACAATATAAACCTTCTTAAAGCTGTAAGTACTTTTATTTACGTAGAAGTCTATTTTCCTTGACCCTTCCAAAACTCTTTCATTTTCCTGTCTATAAACAGTTTTAAGAATACTCGTCTAATAACTTCCTTCAAAAAGTAGCAGAAAGAAATTTCAGTGGCTCATGGATGACTCATATCAGTCTGTCAGTAAAGCAATTTATATGACTCCTGATAGGGATCTGGAAAAAAAATGCTTTTAAAAAAATAGTTAAATGGAGTACAAAAGTAAGATTCATTTAAGAAAATGCAGGCCTTTAAAGGCCTTTATTCTTAATTAATATTTAACCCATATTTAATCAGCCTCCCTCCTGCGTGTCCTGCTCCTTTTTTGCCCATCTTTTAATTCATATTGCTGTATTTTCATTGTTTATTTTATTGTTTCATTGCTCTACTATTGTTATGTGTAGATTTTTTATAATTTTATGTTTTGCTGTTGTAAGCTGCTCAGAGTAGCCCCACAATGAGATGAGTGGCAAATAAATTTAATAAATAGATAAATATGCTTGCATAATGTAATGTTAAAAAAACAAGTCAAGACCATTCAAAACACTGTACAGTCTAGATCACGGGTGTCAAACTCACTGTGTCACGTTGCCATCACATGATGTTTTGCAACATTCGTGGGGCTAGGGTGGGTGTGGCCTGCGTGTGATGCATCCGTTCCACGGGCTGATAGTTTGACACCCCTGGTCTACATCTTTCGTAGAAATTAAGCAAATCTGAGCAAGAGTCTTTTATTCTGTCATGCTAAAATCTTGTTCACTTCCTTAACAAAATTATTTTGATGTAAATTATTTGTTTTCTTATTGATAATTTAAATTTAAATGAAATATTTTTTAATTTAATTATGTTATAGTGCCAATTAACCATTTATGACTAGAACTGTTATTAACATTTTGTTAGCCTAGTGGCTGAGATCAGAATTAGAACTGAATAAGTGTAATAGTAACCTTATTAACTGCATGATGATGATGATTTTAAAAATCCAGAAATCTCTTTTAATAAAGACATAATTTGAAATGGAAATTATAGGATGAGAATTTGTTGTTTCAATACATGTTTCAGGCATAAGGAAAAACCTGATTAGTACTTATGAAACTTTTGACCTGTGGAAACAAATTTGTGGTGATTTTTGCAATCTTATACATATTGTAATCATCAGACATGTTTGTAATCAAGTAGTACAAACCTGGGAAAGTCTGTTGTACATAATTAGATGCAGCTGGTGTTTAAAACTTAAATTTGTAATAGTTTTGAGAATATGTAATTATGTAAAACATACTTAGCTTTTTTGAGACATTAGTGTTTAGAATCTAGAAAAAAAATTGAGCAGAGAATTTGATGGAAAAGGTGAATGGATGTTGTTCCTTATCCACTGGTTTCCATCAGCCTTGTGTTTTACCACATAAGAGCAATAAAACCTCTGTAAAGGAATTGCGGTACTATGTACAAATCATCCTTATTAAAAAATGTCAAATATTCCACTCATCTATATTTCCAACATAATGCCACTTCCTGTCATTTATTTCTTGAGAGAAGGCTTTTCCCAATCTTTGTTGTTTTGCTGTTTGTTTCCAAATATGTTTTACCTTGAGTGAGTGACAGGAAATGGCTGTTTTCTTTAGAATCCTTCAAAATACAATTATTTCATTGCTAGGATATTAAAAAAGGCCGCCAAGGAGCCCATCTTTTCAGGAAACACAAGAACAGAATGTCCTGTGGTGGGTGCTTTAAAAAAAAAATCATCAGTCTGGTTTTGAGAGAGCTACATTGTTGGTAAATTGAGATAAGGAGGACAAAGGGTTTCGGCTTGATAAATATAGTTTGTACTCTTGTGTATTCAGAGCTGCTGTTCTGCTGCTGTTCAAGACAGGAAAACTGTCAGGACTTGCAAAACCTTTTTATAAATAAGAATTGAGAATTTGTTGGGAATTTGTACACAAAATAAGAGGAACAGCAGTGATATTTCCTTGCAAACAAGAAATGAAGGTAGTTTTTGACTTATGACCACAATTGGGACCAGAACTTCTGTCACTCATTGCCATGGTCATTACGTGAGTCATCATGTGACCACACCTGTCACTGTTTTGCACACTTACAACCATTGCAGCATCGCCAGTTTCCGTTTAATTTAACTCTTGTATTTGTATAATTGTCCTGAGGCGAGTTGATCTGCAGTGAGCTGGCTGTGGCAAGTTACGGTATCTCACTTTTTGCCTGGAACAGTGTGTTTCTATATGAGATTGGGAAAAGGGTAACTTTTCTCCTGCAGCTTTCTCAACTGAGTAACTTAGAGCAAAAACCTTCCCCAAGGCATGGCTAAAGTCTAGGGCTGTGGGCAATGTTTGGACAAAAACGTCAAAATAGTGGCTGTAGTGGTGCAATCAAAGCTCTGCCTGACTCACACAAACACACATGATGAACATAGAAACCAAGTCGAGCTTCAGCCATACATTACAGCAGTGATCCCCAACCTTTTTTTACGCCGTGGCCCGGTATCCCCAACCTTTTTTATGGCGCGGCCCGGTACCGGCATTAGCTGGGCGCCGCCATCTTTTTTGATGAAAAAGTGCTTCCGGTGAGCTTTCTACCCGGAAAAGCTCACCGGAAGCGCTGGCGCCGCCATCTTTTTTTGATGAAAACGTGCTTCCGGTGAGCTTTCTACCCGGAAAAGCTCACCGGAAGCACTTTTTCATCAAAAAAAGATGGCGGTGCCCAGCAAGCCAGTGGCCCGGTAGGACTTGTTCCGCGGACCGGTACCGGTCCGCGGACCGGTGGTTGGGGACTCCTGCATTACAGCCATCATCCTGTCTTTTTTGACCATACCCTGCAGACATTCTCTGTGAGAACTTAAATACACTAAACTAATCTCTACTTGTTCTGAAAGTTATTCTAATTAAATACTGTAAAAGTAAACATTCATCATTTCAGAGCTAAAACTTTTGGGTTGTACTAGTTTTATGTAATTTTTTTTTAAATCCTTCTTTTGCAGTTTATGTACATTTTGGGCTTTTGTTTACTCATTGAACTAGTTGGTGGAATTACAGCCTTAATTTTCCGAAATAAGGTAAGAAAATGATTTGCCAAATTAACCAGTTAAAGTTAAATTAGAAAAGAGTCCGGATTCTGCATAACTAATATATTAACATTATTAATTAAATTGAATGTATGTATATTATTAACAAAAATATTGTGAGAAATGTCTGCAGTGAAGACCAATTTAGTTTAAATTAAATTAAAATTGTAATTAAAATTTAATAATTAAAATGTACTTAATTAAAAACTAAGTGTCTGAAGTAAGATGATATGTAGTTATGGCCAAGTTATAGAAGAACATGCCAGTTGCAGGGGTCGATTATATTTGGCTCTGAGAAAGCACGTCATAAACTGTATTTTGACATTTATTCTGCAAACCAAGCATTTTTTTTTCATTTTGTACAATTTATTCTGCAATGTTTATTACTTTGCTTTTGATGTTATCTCAACCAGAGTAGTTTTCATTAATTTTCTGGCTTTCTGACATATTTTTAACTACCTTGATAACCATGAAGTCTAGAAAAATTAATTTCTTTGGAGTTGGAGCCATCTAATACAATATCCTGTGTGCCTTCCTGCAAGCATCTGTTTACTCATTTGGCTTTCTCCCTTGCACAATCTTTAACTCTTTAGAATATTTTCACTCTGGAAATTTTGAGCTTTGAAAATTATTATTATATAGTTGATAGTATTTCCATGTATTAAAATAGTGATGGATTTGTTGCATCAGTGAAATATTGATGATTGGGTATCATAAATGTGTCTTTTCTCTAATGTAGTTTTTAAAAGGCTGACAGCTTTCAAAATTAAAATTAATGCCTGAAACCTCTGATAACGAGCCCAAAACTGAAATGCCCCTAGGAAGCCTATAAATATTTACATTGTTTTAAAAAGACTTAGGCAGGTAAAGGTCTATATCAGTGGTTCCCAAACTTTTTCAGTCCACCGCCCCCTTGGTGCTACAAACTCATCCTCAATGCCCCCCACCCAGGGGCGGGATTCAAATTTCTGTGGGCATGGCCTAGTTTGAGGGTGTGGTTTGCTGGTCATGTGATTGGGTGGGTGTGGCTTGCTGGTCACATGACTGGGTGGGCGTGGTTTGCTGGTCACATGACTGGTGGTGTGGCTTGCTGGTCACGTGACTGGTGGTGTGGCTTGCTGGTCACGTGACTGGTGGTGTGGCTTGCTGGTCACGTGACTGGGTGAGTGTGGTTTGGTGACTGGCAAACCAAATACAAGTGGTCCTCACTTAACGGCCGGTTGCTTAGCAAGTGTTCTAATTTATGACTGGCCTCCCCAGAACTACTTGACCTGTTTTTGGAGTTTTGACAGCCATGCACACACATATACACATACTCCCTTCCAACCCTGCTGGAGCTGGTCATTGGACTAGAATCAGCAAAGCATCTCTGATTAGATTCTAGTGAATAAAATCTAATCAGAGATGCTTTGCTGATTCTTGTTGATTTGTTTTATTTGTATTTCTTTATTTTATGTTGCTGAATTGCATTGACATGTGTGTCCCTTCTTGTGCACAACCCAGAAGCTTTTGTGATTCTTTGGAGCAAAAATTACCAACCTCTGGCTTTGCTCTACTTTTCAAACATGCCGGCACTGCCGCGTTCTAGGTGCTGGCCCCGCAGGTCCACCCCATTGAGCCCGCTGCACTGGAGGGACCTGCCCAAGCAAGTCCAAGCGGAGCGGTGCACCAAATCAATGGGGTGAACCTGGGAGAGGGAAAGAGAGAGAGAGAAAAGAGAGAAGGAAAAAAAGAAAGAGAAAAGGGAAAGAAAGAAAAAGGGACAAAGAAGGGGGGCATGGAGGGATGGAGGAGGGAGGGGGAGAGAGGGAGAGAGAAAAGAGAGAAGGAAAAAAAGAAAGAGAAAAGGGAAAGAAAGAAAAAGGGACAAAGAAGGGGGGGCATGGAGGGATGGAGGGGGAGGGGGAGAGAGAGAGAGAGAGAGAGAGAGACCTGATGCATCAGATTGAAATGAGGCCTAGTTTAGAGGCCCTTATCCATATTGAAACATCTTTGCTAGCATCTTTGGCAGCATATTGAAACATCTTTGGCTTCTATTAATTAAAGGTTTTGTGGATGAAACATGGCCAAGACTATCAGGAAGCTCTCACATTTTATTGAGGCTTTAAACAGGATCCATTGGACCAGATCTCCACCCTAAAAAATTACTTTCCCCCAATGTATTACAGTGCCAATTCTGAAGAAGGCAAAATCAAAATGTACTGGTAAATTACAAGGAGAACACACACACACACACACCCTTCTAACCCTGCTGGAGCAGGTGATTGGACTAGAATAGATATTTCATTATCTTTCTCCTCCCTCCCTCCCTCCCTCTTTCTTTCTTTTTCTTTCTGTCCCTTCCTTTCACCCCACCCCTCTTTCCTTGTCCCTTTTTCTTTATTTCTTTTTCTTTCTGTCCCTTCCATCCCTCTTCTTTCTTTGTCCCTTTTTCTTTCTTTCCCTTTTCTCTTTCTCTTCTTCCTTCTCTCTTTCTCTCTCTCTCTCTCTGTTTCCTCTCTCCTTCCCTCTCTCAGGCTCACCCCATTGACTTTGTGCACTGCTCTGTTCGGACTTGCTTGGGCAGGTGCCTCTGGTGCAAGGGGCTCAATTGGGTGGAACACGGCGGCGGGAAGATGTTTGAAAAGGAGAGCAAAGCCACTCTGGCTTTGCTCTCCTATTCCCAACGCTGAGTTCGGGGCGCCGTCCCACTGCCCTGAACATGGCGGCAGGATATTTGAAAAGGAGAGCAAAGCCACTCTGGAGAGCAAAGCCACTATTCCCAATGCTGCGAACACGGCGGCGGGATGTTTGAAAAGGAGAGCAAAGCCACTATGGCCTTGCTCTCCTTTCCCAACGCTGCGTTCGTGGGTGGAGCTCCTTGCACCAGAGTGTGCAAGTCAATGGGATGATCCTGTGGGGCCTTGTCTTGAATGCGGCGGCACCGGCATTTTTTCTCACCCCGAATTGTGCCCTGCCGCTCACCTCCAGTGCCCCCCCCTGCTGCCTCTTAGCGCCCCCCTGCCGGCCCCCTTGCCTCTCAGTGCCCCCCTAAGGCATCCCACTGCCCCCAGGGGGCGGTACCGCCCACTTTGGGAACCACTGGTCTATATGTTACCCATGGTATGAAAAACCCATGGTATTTCATTATACTTCAGGGATTTTCCTGATGTAATATGTGTGCAATAATATAGAAACAATAGGGGTCAAGGATATATTGCCATATTACCATGCCCCCTTCTCTGCGGAGCCACACCACAGCTAACCCACCACCAGAGTTTATGCTTGGTGGGCCCTTCACCGGCACTCCTCCCCTGGCAATGGACTAACTACTAGCATTCCTGCCCCACCTCCTTTTCCTGGCTGATTCACTGCAGGATGTTTGTCCTTGGGCAATTCACTGTGTGGGACACCTAAATGCACCTCCCGGTGGTCGAGTGAGGCAGGTGGGAATTACAGCAGTTGCTGGATGGGGCAACCGGCTGCGTGGCATCTCCAGCCAAGGGCCCTTTGAAGTGGCAAAGAGGGGCCGGAAGCAGGACAGCTCCCTCCCACCTAGCCTGACCCTCTTCTGTAGAGCTGAGTAATTCCCAACTTTGGCCAGCAACTCCAGCCCCACTGCCATCTGCTGCTTCCATTTGGTCTGCAGGTTGAAGACAGTTTGGCTTGCCTGAATGTTACATTCAGGCCTTTCCCTTAAAGAAGCGCAGATGCAGCAAAGTTACTGCATGGCTGATGGGTCTTAAAGCAGAATATAGTACAGCTATGGCTGGGGGAGAGATCGGTGGGCCCAAGTGGGACACCCGAGGATGCAGAAGGAACTGTCACTTGAAAAACCACGGGGAAAGATTGGCAAAATTCGGAGAGTAGAAGTCATGATTGCCCACCCTTGTTCTAGATAAACTAGCAGGATGGAAACTGGCTGCAAGACATCTAGCTGGAAAATGAGAAATCATAAGGGAAGTAGGACACTTCCAGGTCTACCTCACAGATTATCTTCAGGTTGCATTACCACCATTATTGAAAATTTTCGCTTTGTAACCATATTCCATGAAACACAGTGAAATAGAGGGAAAACAGTACAGTTGGAATACTTGGAGAATTAAATCCCTCTAATAGAAGTAGATGAGTTGTTTATTTAGATGTTTATTTAGATCCTGAATATGAAATGAATAACAAAAATTATTGCATAATAATATCATCTGGAAGATCTCAAAAGAAACCATCACTTTGTAGTAATTATAGTTTTTAGTAGTTTTAATTTGCTTGTTTATGCCCTTGAGTGAGCGTTGATTCCTGTCTAATATGTGGATAAGTTCTTTTTTGTGGATAAGCAGTTTTTCTGGCAAGGTTTTTTTTTTTTTCCCCAGAAGTGATTTGCCATTACTTGCTTCCTAAAGCTGAGAGACTGACTGGTCCTAGGGCACTTGGCCTTGTGGCTAAGGCAGGACTAGAATTTCCAGTCTCCTGTTTTTTTTAGTCTGGTATTTTTAACCACTTTACCAAACTAGCTCTTTGTCTGGTAGGAATAATTCATGATTTTTCTACAGCTTGGTCAAGCTGATTTGGCAAATCATTTATTTGCTTACACAATTTACTGGTTGATTTCTGTTAATAATTTATTCAATTAAATTTAATATAATGTCATTTTTCTAAGATGAAGGCAAGTGACATAACAGTTTAATAAATAAATTTAATTTTGTTAGAAAAATAGAAACTTTACCACTTGTTAAAAAACACATTAAGCTCCTCTCCCTTAATATCTTTCATTTGTAGCTTCGCTGATTAATTATTTCATTAAAATAGTTTCTAATTGATTTCATATCAGAGCCAGGCAGCTTTTAAATTGCGCTATTGTACAATATTATTGTTTCTTTTGCTTCTCTACAGAGCAAGCAGGGGTGGGAAGGGGTAGGAAGGTGGTCAAAACGGTCATAATGGAAGCTGCAACCATGTGGCCTGCCCTTGTTGATGTTTGATCAAAATATTTGGTCACAGGGATTGATCATATGGTTATGGCTACCATATTAACTTTGTGACACCCTGTCAATTACAAAATAGGGAAGAGATCAGGAGGCACATAAACAGAGGTGTTTGGGGAGGGCAAATGATGAAAACAAGGTTGTGCTGTTGCATTGTAAACTCCACCCCTTTTGTATCTATCACACATAGGAAAGGGCTGGAGCTTGGGTTATTTCGATGAGAAAGTACAATTTTACAGAGGCTTCCAAGAAGCCGTGTTGTCAACTACAGTACTCAGCTTTCTATGAGTATATGCTGACCCATTTTTCTTTCACTTCTTTTTTTTTTCCTTTTAAAGACAATTGAGTTTTTAAATGAAAATATCGGAAGAGGGATTCAGAATTACTACGATGACTTGGACTTCAAAAACATTATGGATTTTGTTCAAAAGGAGGTTTGTTTTTCAGTATCAACTCAATCTTGCCCAAACTGCTATAGATTCATTAATATTCTAGCAGTTGACAATATATTTTCCCCTGTAGTGCCTTCAAAATTGCCAGAATTTCAGGAGAGACATGCTAGATTTTGTGATTTGGCGATTGCACACAGAGTCTCAAAAATAATTTCAGTTTAAAAATGCATTGTACTATGGTGTACATTCAGAAAAATAAAATTAATTTGATAGTAAAGTATTTAAAAGCTTTTGTGGAAATCTGCCAGAACTGCAGGCCATTTCTGCTGCTTCCATGAGCAACTTCCATTGAACATAATAAAATTAATGGGTGACATCCAGTTGATTGCAAACAGAAGCCATCTATCAGCAGAAAGAGAAAGAAACATTATTTTCTCTAGTTCCTTCTAACCATGATAATCTCTATTAGTTTATGTTAGTCTTGACTCACATACACCAGATTTCATCTCTGATGTATAACATCAGTTATAAAACTTGGGTGCTTGTATGGCTTTCTTCGTTGCAATATATAGTTTATATTTAACTATTTATAGCTTTCCCACTGATTTTGATAACTCTAGTCTGTAGCTATATAGAGAAAATTCTTCATTAGCCTTTCTAGTGCCACTGCTCTAGAAATAGTGGATGGACAGGAAGTCCTTTCTCGGATGAGGTAAGAAAAGGGATAACTGGAAATTTCCCTTCTCTATTTCAATGCAATGCTGTAGAAATAATATATTAGATATTAATATGTCTGTAAGAGTGACACATTGCCATAATAAAATTATGACATGATAAAATTATGATAAAAGACTATCAAAGAATGGAGATTTATTTTTTAATCATTTACACTACAGTATTACAAGTTACAGCATAATTATAAACATATTTGATCTGAAATAAGCCCCACTGAATTCAGTAGAATGAAAGCCTGGATGGAGTTGAATGTTTTGATCAATAAGAAGTTTGTTGAAACCTGAAACTCTTAGTGAAGGAAATAGGCTGTTAAAATTCTCATGAACTTGTGAATCCCTTATGATCGTATAGATACATTGGAACACAAGCTGAATGGAATGAATGTGAGGTGTGGAGGAGCAGTGATATTTTTATTATAATTTATTATATTACGATATTATAATATTGTTTTAAACATAATTAAATTAAATTACAATGGCAATCTTCTTTATTTGGAACAAAAAATAAATTGAATGTATACAATTTTACTTCTTTCCAACTCTCACATTTTTTTCTGTGTTTATGCTAGGATTCAAATATGCATTGGGATTTTCAAAGATCTTTAAAAAAATGTAACCATTTAATTTTTTTACATTTCTTTATGTTTGACCTTAATGCTGTTATTTTTAAAATTCAAACTAACTCACATCCTTCATAATTCAACAAATGTCTTCTTGCCTACTGGTGTACATGTACACAGATATAGGCAACATACCCACAATATACTCCTTAATCACTAACCTTTGAGGTATACAATAGTTTGGGATTTGACTGAAATCTAGTCAGATCAAATCTTAAGGCCTTATTTCCCTATAGAATCTTTTCCAAAACTGTTTTTTGAATATTATTGCTTATCACATGCTACAGTATATAACCACTGTTAACAGGTATTTTTTTTTCCTTGACTGGACTATGATTTCTAAATGAGGAATACTTGCATTCTGCAATGATACTAAGTATGCTACTTTATAATATCCCTTTCTCTTAAAGTTCAAGTGTTGTGGTGGAGAAGATTTTAAAGACTGGTCAAAAAATCAGTATCATGATTGCTCTGCTCCAGGACCGTTAGCCTGTGGAGTCCCATACTCTTGTTGTGTTGCAAATAAGGTAAAAACAATGCATTATTCTCAATTAATTGGGAAGCTTTTTTAGTGTTTGTCACATTGTGTAAAATCAGTAGTTTTTCTCTAAAAGCTAAGCTTGTCAACAAAAAGAATCATCTGTGGAAACATTTATAATAAAGGTGCAGAGAAGAGCAACAAAGATATAAAGGGTCCGGAGGCTAAATCATATGATGATGAACAATTGAAGGAACTAGGTATGTCTAGTCTAATAAGGAGGACTAAGGGAGATATGGCAGCAGTCTTCAAGTCCTTGAGGGACTGTCACAGACATGAGGGAGTTGATTTATTCTTCAAAGTACCTAGTAATGGATAGAAGATCATTAAAGAGAAAGCTAACCTAGAACTAAGGAGAAATTTCCTGACAGTGAGAACAATTAATCAGTGGAATGGTTTACCTCTGGAAATTGTGGGTACTCCATTACTGGATGTTTTCAAGAAGGGATTGGAAAGCCATCTCTCTGGAATGGAAGTTGGACAAGGAAAACCTTCAAGGTCCTTCCCAACTCTGTTGTTCTATATTCTGTGTTCTATCAATCAATTTGTTTGATGTGAATCAGTTTGATACATGGTACTATTTAAAAGGCTAAGAAGGCAGAAGTTATAATGGGTGACTTTGGGTTGGTTACGCTCTCTTAGCCCAGATGGTACTGGCAGACTGGTTCCACAAATGTTGCCAAGAAACATTTATGCATGTAGTTGCTAGAAATCTAGACTGACTCGAAGAATTACAACACACAAAGATTGTATGAAACAAATAGAAAGAAAACACAATTCACTGTTATATAGAAATAGCTTTATGGATGTTAGGAACATAGATTCTAAATAAAATTTCCCTAATGAGAATTTGAATAAATAGGATAAATCTAAAAAGAAATCTTTTTACTAGACTACACATGAATAAATCTAAAAACAAATTAATTTATTTGTATTGGGCTATTTTACTGATAAAGAAAAAAATTGCTTTATTAAAAATATTTTTGAAGCTAGTGAAGAGCCAGATTTTTTTCCTTCCAGCATGTCATTGGGGCTTATTATATGACACAACTCTTTTTGTGACAGTCATAAATGCACTATGAAATATGGCTTTTTAAAGGCCATACAATTTTAATAATAAATTCATATCCAGAATATGTATTATTACAGTTTATGAACAGAAGTAAATCTGGGTTCAGTAATGTTAAGTTTATAGTAATTTAGCTCTAGGCAATAGTTTTTGGAGATAAACTATCTGTAATGCTCTGATACAATTATCAATAAGAAAAATGTAAACAGTCTATTATCAGATAATACCAATACCAATGTGAGGGTAATACCTACTGTGTGTTTTTCAAATACCTTCAGAAGGATAAAAATAGCAATGTTCTACTTATAAAATTGACATTATAAACACCTATAATAATACTCCGGAACATCTTTTCAAAGCTGTCTTGTATTATACACATTTATCTGAAAGATGCCACACCACTACTCTAAAAATAAATCAAGCCAAATAAATATTAACTGTTTGACATAGTTACCAAAAGTAGCTTGGCTTTTTCACTGGAAAAATACAAATGTGAGCAGCAGTTATTCATTTACTCTATGGTCATGGAAAAATATAATTAATATGGGAGGTTGGTGTCTTTATTTTTGGGCAAGTTTCGTGGAATAGATAAGATCTGGATAATAGGCTTTGCCACTTCGGTGAAAATCTGTTGGGATAGTGTAAACAAAGGCTTTTCAAGCCCGGGAAATCTTGCCAGATCAAAAAAGCTGACTTTTTTGCTATCTATAATAGTGTACTTATCAGGCCTAGGGAAGGATGTGGCATGACTCAAGTCCATTTGCAGGGCTGTCAAACTGATGGCCCGCGGGCTGGATGCATCGCATCATTGTTTGCAAAGGCAAACAATGATGCGATACGCGATCGAGTTTGACACCTGTGCTCCAGCATAAGACATTTGATTTTGCATCATTATCCTGGGACACGTATATTTGCCAACGTTCAACTAAGTACAGTAGAGCTATGAAATAGCAGACACAGGATAAAGCTGAGTATGACTCAGTCCAGATCCTTTCCCACACCTTAACAAATAGAAATCTAAGGGCCAATGTTTGCAAAATTAAAGGTTGGCTGTGCTCTAGGCTAATGCTAAAGATACATTACTTTATCTGGATGCTTGTATTGCTGGGTTAAGTTTGACTAACGGACTTGCAGACTTACCATTAAGCATAAAAGGGCGGGAATGCAAATAATCCTAACACTATTCTTAATAAGTCCTATTTTGTAGGTATTCATTGTGGTAAGTAGAGTAGAAAAAAATACATGGAAGTTAGCAGATGGTTGGCATCTTAAATGTCTCATGCTGCTTGTCAAAACCTTATGACACTTTTAGTTTTCTTTTAATACTTTGATCTTTGTACAGGTAGGCATACATAAGAAATACAGGTAGAAATACAGACTTAACAACCATAACTGAGCCCTAAATTTCTGTTGCTAAGTGAGACAGTTATTAAATGAATTTTGCGCCATTTTACGATCTTCGTTGCCACATTTGTTAAGTGAATCATTGCAGTTGTCACGTTAGTAACACAGTTGTTAAGTGATCCAGTCTTCCCCATTGGCTTTGCATGTCAGAAGGTTGCAAAAGGTTGCATTGACTCAGGGCACCGTCATAAATATGAACCAGTTGCCAAGCATCCAGATTTTGCTTATATGACCATGGGATGTTGTAACAGTTTTAAGTATGGAAAATGGTCGTAAGTCACTTTTTTCAGTGCCATTGTAATTTTCCATTTATAAATGAATGGTTATATCAGTGGTGGCTTAACCTTTTTGGGCTCCTGGGCCAAAAATTGTGTGCGCGCTCACATGCCAGCACCCAGAAGGCAATGTGCATGCCCCCCATGCCCCCTCACGCCCACTTTGCATGCATGCGCAACCCTCCCCACGCTGCCGCCTCACCTGCATTGTGCCTCCCAGAGGCTCGAGAACAGCTTCTGCAGCTGATTTTTGGCCTGTTTGAGGCCTTTTTCGGCCTCCCAGAGGCTGGAGAACAGCTTCTGCAGCCTTTGCAGGCCGAAAAATAGGCCTGTTTTGTCACTTCCGGCCTGCAAAGGCTGCAGAAGCTGTCCTCAAGCCTCTGGGAGGCCGAAAATCAGCTGGGAGGCCGTGCATGCTCAATGAGGTAAGTTTACCTATGGCACGCATGCCATAGACACCTATGGCACGCATGCCATCATGGGATTATATGTCAAGGACTACCTGTAAGAATAGCTAATCTTGGCATTAATCTGTTTATTCAGCTGCCTGATCGATATACTGGGAGCTAAATTTTAAAAGCCTTGTGGTAATACAGCTGTAATCGTCCCCACTCATGGCTTTGGGTAGCTTCTCTCTTTGACAGAGGTTCTTCATCTTATTAGTGGACACTGGTGGTTTCTGAGACATTGAAAAATCCCTGTGACAGATATGGTAACCAGAATATTTATATGTGCTATGTTTTAGGAGCATATAGTAGCAGGGCACCCATGGGAGTAGGAAAATAAAGTCAAGGAGGTGTATGTGACTAAGAAATGGAAGGCCTGCCCCTTTTGATATGCATTGTATAAAAAAAACAAGCGGGGATTTAACTAAATGGTTGTGGCTGCCCTTTTGGCTTTTTTTGCTCTCCTGGAACAACTCTGGATACCGTAGTAGAAACTTTTAAATCACACTGAAGCTTGTGATATAAACCAAAAGATCTTTGTCTCACAACAAAGAAATACTGTCGAGGAAAAATATTTAAATTTATATATATATTCATTATAAATTTAAATTGATAAATTGATAATGACTATATATAAATAAATTGGACAAGCATGTTCCAAGTATGATTACTTGGAAGATAGTACTTAGGTAGGAAGGGGTTATTTGGGTACTATTGTTTGGGTACAAACAATTGACATGGGTGGAAATTGTGGTTTTTTAAAATAGATTCCCTTATTTCAGAAGGGTTAGTATTCAGAGTATAATCGCAAATAATTTGTAACTTACTTTGCTCAATTCAACTCATGTTATTGAGTGCTCTTGTTCAAGATTTAAATATATGGAACAACAAATCTGGAATTTTCAGGTGTATTCGGGGAAAGATTCATGGCTTAAACCTTTCACAAGCTGTTTTCAAGAGAAATAGTGGAAATCAAGTTTCTGGAGGAAAATGGTTGAATGGCCAAGTATGTACAGTAAATCAACAAACTGAAATGTACACTTAAACAAATATAGATGTCAAAGTTATGTATAAAAGCTGGAGCATTTGGATACTAATAAATTTTATCCCATTTACAATTAATTGTAATAATTTGAATGCAGGGAGGTTCCAAATATACTTCCTCTTGAGATATTAGAAACCTAAAATAATATTAAGAAAGTTAATAAAATTATTTTAAAAGATATTTAAAAACTTGGCAAAACTGAATAGTGATTTTTCACTTTTTAGTGTTTTTGTTAGCTATTTGAACATTAACAGAAAATGTTTTTCATACAAGTGAATATTTTTTACTCAAACTATAATACACATAATGGGTTTTAATTTTTCTTATTTCTTTACTTTTTACTTCAGGAAAAGTAAAAAAATGTGATTATGTTATAATTTTTATATCAAGTTGTAAAACAAGCTATGTAAATCTGTTCATATTACATTGTAAATAAATGTGTTTATATGTGTTTTTTCCTCCAGACAATGGTCATTAATACCATGTGTGGATATAAAATGATGACTGAAGAGGTAGGGAAATGAAATATTTAATATATATATATATATATATATATATATAAATTTAGCATTTTATAGTCAAAGCGTTCCCAGAAGTAACGTACGGCTGTGAGAATTGGACCATAAGGAAGGCTGAGTACCAAAGAATTGATGTTTTTGAATTGTGGTGTTGGAGAAGCTCTTTGATGGACTGCAAGGAGATCAACTCAGTCAATCCCAAAGGAAATCAACCTTGAAGGTTCTTTGGAAAGACAGATAGTGAAGCTGAAGCTCAGATATTCTGGTCACCAAATTAAAAGAGAGAACTCATTGGAAAAGACCTTGATGTTGGAAAGGATAGAAGGCAAAAGGAGAAGGGGATGGCAGAGGAAGAGATGGTTAGATGGTGTCATTGATGCAGAGAACATGGGGCTGGGCAAACTCGAGGCAGTGGAGAACGGCATAGTCCTTGGGGTTGCGAGAAATCAGACAGGACTTAGTGACTGAAGAACAAAATTTAGCACTTAACAATTTTAAGGATGGCTAACTTTATGCATTTTTAAAGGGGATAATAGCCATCCACTACTTTCTTTTGTCTTGTGCTCTTTATTTTGTTTTGGCAAATACACCCACAAAAAGGACAGTACATAAATTCCAATGTTCTTTGCGATTAAAAGCTTGATAAAAATACTGGCTTCATGGAAACAGACATCAAGGAGAACAGGACAAAATGCAAGGCACATCCAGATTTTGAGAGGTAGTGTGGGATAGCATTTAGTTTTAATTGCTACTATATAAATAATATCAGCCATAAAACAAGGAGTGAATTGCACATCCTTTCTCGTATCCCTTCATGATTTAAAATTAGGACCCTTAAATAAAACGCAAATACAATTTGAATTAATAAAATATTATTCATGTCAAATAACGTAAAAGTTTTATTAGGTAATGGCCTATGGATTTCTCTAGTCAGGTTTATTTATTTATTTTATTTGTCAAGCGATTATAAGACAACAGGTATAAGTATAAACATAGTTATAGTATAAACTACATACATAGTTATGAATACATGAAATGGATACATATAAGAAAAATAAAAAGATTGCAATGCATTTAACCTCTCATCGTTGTTTAATATTATAATACTGACCACGGTATCTTCTATAAAGATTGGGAGTCAGAGGCATCGTGCTGCTCCTCAGTTCTTGTGGTGGTGCTAGGGGAGTCAGCATGGCGGGTGCTCAATTGTGGGGTGCCTCAAACTCAAGTCTCTCTCCCCTCCTACTATTTAACATCTACACCAGGGGTGTCCAACCTTGGTAACGTTAAGCCTGGAGGACTTCAACTCCCAGAATTCCCCAGCCAGC